GGCAATACTAACAACAGTAATAATTAATTTATTTTGTAATAATTTAATTTAAGTTCTATGACGTCATTTGATTTGGTAAAATATTTGATCCATTTTGGATAACATTACTTGCCTACGTCACAAAGAGTTAGATCTATGTTTACTCCGTTGGACTTTTCTGATAAAAATGCTAAATTTGAAGCCTTTTTCCGGAGGATAAACTTTCTCATTACCTGCACTGAATGTAATTCTAAAAGGAATATTGATCAATTCAATACGATATAACATAATTCAGGCACTTTATGAGGCATAAACTGCATATCATATAATAAAATTTGAAATAAGCATCGTTATTGAAAGAAAAAAAATATCTGTATGTTGCTATTACTAGATCTATATGTGTATTTTTATATCTTAAGATCTTTTTGTGTATGTTTATATCTTTAGATTAATATGTGTATGTTTAATATTTTTAGATATACATGTGTGTGTTTATATCTTTACATCTATATGTGTAAGTTTATACCTATAGATCTATATCTAAATATTTATATCTTTAGTTCTATATGTGTACGTTTTCATCTTTACATCTATATATGTGTGTTAATATCGTTACAGCTATATGTGTGTGTTTATATCTTTACATCTATATGTGTGTGTTTATATCTATACATCTATATGTGTAAGTTTATATCTTTAGATCTATATCTTAATATTTATATCTTTAGTTCTATATCTGTATGTTTATATCTTTACATCTATATATGTGTGTTAATATCTTTAAAGCTATATGTGTGTGTTTATTTCTTTATATCTATATGTGTATAATTATTTCCGCAGATCTATGTGTGTATGTTCATATCTTTAGGTATATGTGTGTATGTATATATCTTTAGATATATATATGTGTATGTTTTTATCTTTGATTTATATGTGTATGTTTATATCTTTAGATCTATATATGTACGCTTAAATCTTTAGATCTATAGATGTATGTTTATATCTTTAGATCTATATGTGTATGTTCATATCTTTCGATCTATATATGTATGTTTATATCTTTAGATCTTTACGTGTATGTTTATATCTTTAAATCTATATATGTACGCTTAAATCTTTAGATCTATGTGTGTATGTTTATATCTTTAGATCTATGTATGTATATTTATATCTTTATATCTATATATGTATGTTTATATCTTTAAATCTATATGTGTATGTTTATATCTTTAGATCTATATATGTATGTTTATATCTTTAGATCTATATGTGTATGTTTATATCTTTAGATCTATATGTGTATGTTTATATCTTTAGATCTATATTTGTATGTTTATATCTTTAGATCTATATATGTATGTTTATATCTTTAGATCTATATGTGTATGTTTATATCTTTATATTTATGTATGTATATTTATATCTTTATATCTATATATGTATGTTTATATCTTTAAATCTATATGTGTATGTTTATATCTTTAGATCTATATATGTATGTTTATATCTTTAGATCTATATGTGTATGTTTATATCTTCATATCTATATTTGTATGTTTATATCTTTAGATCTATATGTGTAGGTTTATATCTTTATATCTACATGTGTATGTTTATATCTTTACATCTATATGTGTATGTGTATATCTTTATATCTATATATGTATGTTTATATCTTTAGAGCTATATGTGTATGTTTATATCTTTAGAGCAATATGTGTATGTTTATATCTTTATATCTATATATGTATGTTTATATCTTTAGACCTATATGTGTATGTTTATATCTTTAGATCTGTATGTGTATGTTTTTATCTTTAGATATATATGTGTATGTTTATATCTTTAGATTTATATGTGTATGTTTATATCTTTAGATCTATATCTGTATGTGTATGTTTATATCTTTAGATCTATATATGTATGTTTATATCTTTAGATCTATATATGTATGTTTATATCTTTAGATCTATATACGTATGTTTATATCTTTATATCTATATGTGTATGTTTATATCTTAAGATCTATATGTGTTTATTTATATCTTTAGATCTATATGTGTTTATTTATATCTTTAGATCTATATATGTATGTCTATATCTTTAGATCTATATGTTTATATCTTTAGATTTATATGCAGCTGTGTATGTCCTTCTTGTCCTTCTCAATGGCTTGGAAATTCATTAAAAAGCCTGGTGACAGAAAGAAATCGGTTGCCATGCGCGGGAATTCGTTGGGTAAATATCATTTGAAAACATCTCTCTCCTCTCGTGCTCTATCCTTCTTTCCCTAGTTTATAAAGATGAGCGGAATGTAGCTTTTCAAATTTTAAATTTGACATTTAATTTCAACACAATATGTTGTCCAGTCTGTTAAGCTATGTAAACTATTCCAATTAGATAAAATTCCACTACAATTAGCAGATACAAATTTTACAAATTTTACATTGATAAATCAAGAATAACCGTTTTATTAGAGCACAGAGATGTCTAATACTTAGAGAGTTCATGAATATATATTGAAACAAGATACAGCTTACTCCACTTATATTGAACTCGCTTATTTTGAAATTCCGGTTATTTTGAAATAGAAATAAATCCCCAGTTTTTGCCTCTCATATTCTTTGCATTAAAATAACGGTTATATTGAAATCGGATATATTGAAATTTCGCTTATATTGAAGCTACTGATCGGTTCCCAAAGGTGATAATGAGTTGTTTTCATAACGGTTATATTGAAGTACTCCCTGGCGGCTGTCGTTACGGTTGGTGAAAGTAATTATGCCTGATTGACCAGTTGATATAAAAAGGTGCGAAAAATTAAGTGTTCACCTTATGTGTTTTATACTGCATGCTCTTAGGGGAAAAAATCTTCACTGTTAAATTCTTTACGTCCACTTATATAATACGGACATATTGAGGCTAAACGTAATGTAGTCACCCCCCAGATCTAGGAAAGAAACATAACTTTGAAATTAAATACGTTCTGTTAATGGCTATTGATATGCCTAAATTCGAAATAACTAAGGTATTAACCCGAGTACACTTATGATGAAATACAAGCAGCGTTCAGCAGTACTCTACCTTTTAAGTGAAAGGATGATGTGACATAACTGCTATCTGGGGCCCCTTTTTCCACGACGAATTAAATTTAATCTACAACGATGTTGGTAGTTTTCAAACATGAGTGAATAAATACGACGCCTTTTGAATAGTTTGAATAGTTCAGACACATTTTAATTATAAGAAATACTGCATTATCTTTGATTTTTTAGACCCTATCACAGCTAAATTCTGCCAGGTTTGTGCGAATAATTTCTTTTATGGCAAAAGAATGGGCGGGTCTTAGTACAATAGAGGGATATGCGTGTCCGAGAAGACCTTGTATGGCTATTGTTATTATTTCGCACTTTTGGTCATTTAGAAAGTATCGCCTGTGCCTCGATTAGGATATGAATTCATTCTTACGTCAGAAAATCTAGTTCTGTCGATCTGTTTATAATGGGAAAGGCCAACTAGATTTTACAATCTTTTAAAAAATAGCATGTGAGCGCATTGAGGAACAATTTTCTCCTTTCACATATAGGTAGATTTCAATAAAATGCAGTGACCAGCCAAAGGAGAAAATTGTACATATCTGCGCTCATATATTTTAAGGGCTTCAAAGAGTGGGGCGGGGCTAAAATGCAATGGGTATTGAATGTAAACATGATACCCCTACCCCAATAAAAGATCTATATCTTTCAAATCACGTTTCTATTTTTGTTAAAAATGGTATTCTATAAAGGTACACATATCAGTGATTAGTAACATACAAAAATTTGAGTAAAATTTAGACATTTAATTTTTTGTCAGAATACGAGGGGCCGCAAGTCACCTCATCCTTTGTTGGAATTTTTTTCAAAACGTAAATAAATGCGATCGGAGAATAATAATGAGGGGTGAAGATTGTCTTCTCAATGAAACAGAAATAAAAAAAAATATTTAAACCTTCAAGGACTCATTTTCTATGTAATCTGTTCACTGTTTTAGATAAACGATGACAGATTAATTTTTTCGGGTTTGTTCTTCTTTATTTAAGATCGAGATTGAACTTGTAAAAATGGCGGCTTCACGATTTCTCTTAAATTGAATTAGGGATATTTTAAAATAATTTGCATGGTCCCCTGAATTTCAATATATCTGGAGTAGGCTGTATATACAATTGAGACATCTACTCACATTTAAACACGGTGTTTATATTCATCATATTCTTCTTTTTTTCTTTTCTGGATGAACAACAGATTGTGAATAGGAAGTAATGCCAAGGCGTCTTCGTAACAAAGCGATCATGAATCATTTTAAAAATCAAGTCAAAATATTCATGTTGTATTTTAATGATGTTCAAGTCAAGCAGGTTAAAATTAAAATAGGTTTTAATATCGATTAACAAATGAGGTGTTATTTACAAATTTTGAGATTAATTCGGCAATTAAGGTAATTACCCATACCACGTGAAATAACGCTTTATGACGTTATTCTCGTCAGTGACGTTATTACGTCAAACGGGCCCGACGCTTATTCTACAAAAAATGCCTGACGTCAATTTCACTTACCGTGAAAAGAAAGGTATATTAATTTCCAAATAAAAGGCATAAAATATGCAATGTTCAGTTATGTCCGGGATGCATGATCGAAGGGGAGTTTACATTTAGATGATTCGTCAAACCGAAAGTACAACAAAGATGGACAAACACCACCAAATGTTTTCCCATAGACTTCCATACAAACTTTAGCCCCTCTCACTGATACATGTATTGAATTTCGGGCAAATGACCTTTTTGTCGTGAAAGTTCGAGATATTGGAAAACAAAAAATGCCAGAAAAAATATACCGTGCCGTTGCACTTTTACTTTCAATTTCCATTTGTTTACAACTAGGTGCGTTTGACACCAAATGAAAATCTCTAACCAAAGTGCATTCCTCCCTTCAAATTTTTACCTGTAACTCCTATATACCTCAAAGAAACCCAAGTCTTGATATGAGATTTTTATCAACTTTATTTCACTTGTCAAATACATAACAAGTCTTTTCTCTTATTGACCAATCACGCGCCAGCTAGCATTTTCTCCTCCGCACAACTTTGGGTGTCCAAAATGTCTGCGCCCATGTATTTGTTTATGTAGGGGTTTTTCCTATAGAGTAAAAGAAACATTTATAAAAAGTGGTCAATTTAGTAAATTTAGAACACATATCCATTGCTTATCTCACCTCTTGAATATTGGGACTGACAGTCTTAGCTTAAGTACACCATTGGCTGTTACATTTCACACCCCAGTCAATCAGACCAACATCTGTGAAACAGAAAAGATGTCTATAAATTGAAGCATTTTTCTATTTTTCTTTCAAACTTTTCAAATAAAATGATTAATCTAGCATATGTTTTGCTTGTTTTTCTTATTATCTCTAATAATTTCTCAAGGTAGATCATGTTAATCATTCAGGGTAGCAGGTACCCGTTATTAATGAAAAATGAAGAAAATCAGCAGGTTTTTGTAAGAAAAAGCTGGGTTATGGAAAGAGTGAAAACTAATGTAGATAAAATAATCAATGGAAAGAAAGAGAATTATATCTAGTTCAAATGTACATAAGATTAAAACAAATTCTATCAGCAGTGGGTTGCTGGCATCAGAGAATCAAATACATCCCCACTGAAAATTTTGTAATTTTGAAGGGGGGTGACCTACATTTTAGCCAATTTTCATGAACATTTCATGTAATTGATGTTAAATATGTATATTCTCATAAAAGGCAAATATATTTATTTGCATATCATTTCTTATTATTGACATAATTAATAAATTGATTAAATGCCAAGGGCAGATAAATCATATTGTCTGACTGAATACAGTGCTCAATTGTACGCAAAATGTTTAAATAACTGCAGTTCTGAGGAAATTTATTTTCTGATAATCTATAAAAAGTTCTAAATAACTTAAATATTAAGAGATTAACTAGATTTTCTAAGAAAATCATACCTTGGAACTCTTAATGAAAGCAGAGGGATCATCCCCAGAGTGTCCATGGGTTGTTCATTGTAATAGGGTACGGTTCATTAATCTCTTCCTTCTTGATAATGCATTGCTGAAATACATTTTATTTTATTAAAACATACTGATAAATGCATCTAGTAGCTTATATAATAATTTTTTATTATTTACACCATCTTTTGAATTTTTTTTAAGCATTTGTGATGTAATTCCTTTAAAATAATCATGTTAAAATAGAATTTACTCAGATAATTATTTTAAAAAATATCAAAGAAATTGAAAAAAAATAACTGCAGATAAACATGACTCTTGTTATTCAAATAAACCACATTTAAACAAAATTCCTTCATTTTTCAGCATGATTAGAGCACAAAATCTTTCAGCAGAATATCAAGATGGATATGGCAAGGAGGAGGGATATTCAGACACCTTTTTCATATTTTTTTCAGTTATAATTTTGCATATTTATTGCATTTTCAATGTATTTTCTGCAAAAATATATTGTACTGTAATTTCAATGAAATTTCCTACAAGTAATCCCTAAGTTTCACCAAAAGTATAACTTTTATTTCAAGCCAGCACTGATTACATGACTAAAACTGGCTTTTCTGCTGGACTAATGCCCCTTATGTAAAAACAAAGTAACCTAATTAGTTAACAGCAGTCAAATTTTGTTATAAATTATTCAATCAACTCTGATTAACACAAATTTGAAAGAGGATTACTCAATCTGTTCCAATGTCTACACTCAAAAAACACATGGATTTAAATGAATTTCTCAAACTGCGAGGGGGATATTCATATGTTTTGTGTATTGATGATGCCCATAAATATTAATATTGTATTATTTACAATATTCACAGTAAATTTCGGTATAAATATTTATCTAAAATTATTTACATGAACATTTATTGAAAATGTGAGAGCTAGGGCAAAAATTTTGGCATTTTTTCACTATGTGCAGTCCCCATTGTGAGCCTCAATTTACCCAAACCCTCTAATTTTTAAACAAATAGTCAAAACTAACTAAAATATAATCCCAATGCCAAAAAAATAGGAACTGATTGATTTTTTGGCTGTAATCATTTTTTATCCATGAAATCATACCTATTCTATAGGACAAACACCACCAAATGTTTTCCCATAGACTTCCATACAAACTTTAGCCCCCCTCACTGATACATGTATTGAATTTCGGGCAAATGACCTTTTTGTCGTGAAAGTTCGAGATATTGGAAAACAAAAAATGCCAGAAAAAATATACCGTGCCGTTGCACTTTTACTTTCAATTTCCATTTGTTTACAACTAGGTGCGTTTGAAAATGAAAATCTCTAACCAAAGTGCATTCCTCCCTTCAAATTTTTACCTGTAACTCCTATATACCTCAAAGAAACCCAAGTCTTGATATGAGATTTTTATCAACTTTATTTCACTTGTCAAATACATAACAAGTCTTTTCTCTTATTGACCAATCACGCGCCAGCTAGCATTTAGCACAACTTTGGGTGTCCAAAATGTCTGCGCCCATGTATTTGTTTATGTAGGGGTTTTTCCAGATGGGAAGATCTCGAGTACAAAGACTTTGACAATCGGGTCGTTTTTTGTCTCTGTAAGTTGAAGAAATACAGAGTAGCAAAAAATGGTGCTCTTGTCGAAAGTCATTATCGTTTGCTTATATATTTGAACATAGGCCTAGTACATAACCATTTTCGAACCAGAATTCAGGTAACTAACTACTTTGCTTCAATATTCAGATTTTTAAATGTCGTTTTCCTCTTCTCGATTGTTTTGAATCAAAATATTGTTCACGAAAATCGTGTCATCTATGGTATATACAGTATGTATAATAAATGAAAAAAATACGCAAAACAGACCCAGGGGTCTACATCTGATGGGGAGCGGGGAAGGGGATATTTCTGTCTTCAAACACCCATGAATAGTATAGCAATAGATATCAGTAGCTAATAAGATAATGTGAATCCCCAGTGTACTATTCTAAATCACAATTTTATGCATTATCATGATTGCTGTAATGGTGGTTGGACTTAAACCCACAAATCGCAATATGGCAGTAACAAAGAAGGGAATACATGTATCAGATGATAAATAGGAATGCCTATGAGATCATAATAAAACTTAAAAAATAATGATTTATTCGCGAAAACTGTAATTCACAATCTTCAAATACTGAGCAATTAGGGTCGATTTAATTCGGTTTCATTCATCTCAGGGACTTCATTTTTCATCGCTCTTTGTAAATAATTTTTAACAGAAAGAGACAAGATATGGTTTACAATGGTAACTTAAGATCAATTTTGACAAAACATACAAACTTGAAATTTACATTTCGACAAAACATACAAACCATTTTTAAACATTTGATGCTAATTTAATATAAATTCGTATTCGAAATATTGAAAACATCTTGATATTGTATAGCATTCACTTTTTAGAGCTTTGGGATATATATGTAGGTATAGGAAGCACGCTGCTCATCAACTGTTCTGAAGTGGCAAAAAGAAAGACAAGATGCGATATCTCTGCATTTACCTGATTGTGAGTAATAAATTAATTTTTTTTTCTTTCGATTCTTGTCTATTTCTATACGTGACTCCTATGAATGAGTAGCAGTTTTAGAGTCATATCTTCAAAACAAAAAACACAAGTTAAAATATCTCTTGATTATACATAGCTTATTGACGACTTAAAATTTGTCTAAGTGCTCATTAGAGCAAGTTTTAAAATGTTTTACTAATATTCTGAAGAATTGCTACTCTTGTGTTTCACGGTAATGCTTCCTTTTATTGTCAATATCTTTGTCAATAGTTTGCTTCAGTTTCAAAATTGTTTAGATGAGAGGTATACTCATGGAAATCGATTTTTTTAAAAAATAAATCTCGATAAATTAGTGTCTTCTACTTCTTTATATATTTTTTTTTGAACAATTTACTATGAAATTTTATTATTATTGTCCTAAACTGCTGTAGTTGTTATCATTTTATCCTATATTATATATATATTTTTTCTTTCGGTCTCCAATTGTGCTATATTAGAAGATTGACATATCTTTTTCTTTCTTCCCCTTGCATTTCATTTTACCAACTTTTCAAATTTTATAATTATTTTACAAAGCCTTGGCGAGGGGATTAAAACACACAACGAGTTAAACAAAGGTCATATCTAACTACAAATTATGGAAGATTCTTTATATCCCATGTTTAATGCTTCACAACCGATGTTATACACTGTTTTATATATAACACTTCACTTTATTTTACTTCATCACGCTAACGAAAAAAAACATTGTGATGTCATAAGTGCACTTAACTGTGGGATATGAAAAATTTATCCAGTGAGTCATATTCACGGGATAAAGGGGTAAAGATGGGCTAAATAACGTACATACTTAATCTGGGGTGCCAGGAGCTCCCTAGGTCGGTAATTTATTTCACGGAAAAATATTTGATAATTTCATAAGGAAAAACATTTTAATTTAGCCAGATATTTCGGCTATGCATTATAAATAATTAAACACAAGAGTAGCAATTCTTCAGAATATCAGTAAAACATTTTAAAACTAGCTACAAGCTGTAATGAGCACTTAGACAATTTTAAGTCGTCAATAAGCTATGTTTAACAGAGATATTTTAACTTGTGCTTTTTTGTTTTGAATATGACTCTAAAACTGCTATTTATTCATAGGATGCACGTATGCAAGAATAAAAAAAATTACTTAAAGTTATTACTCACAATCAGGTGAATGCAGAGATACCGCATCTTGTCTTTCTTTCAACTTCAGAACAGTTGATGAGCAGCGTGCTTCTGATACCTACTAATATATCCCAAAGCTCTAAAAAGTGTATGCTATACAATATCAGGATGTTTAAAACATTTCGAATACGAATTTCTGTAATTAGCATCAAATGTTTAAAAATGGATTGCACGTTTTGTCAATAAGTCATCTCAAGTTTCCATTTTAAACCATCTGTTTCTTATTTTCTGCTTAAAATATCTTACAAAGAGTAATCGAAAAATGAAGTCCCTGAGACGAATGTAACCGAATTAAGTCGACCCTTATTCTCAGAATTTGAAGATTGTGAATTACATAAATACCAGTTGTTTCGTATGAAATCATTATTTTTTAAGTTTTATGTTCGAAACTATGACCATGTAAGAAAATAAAATTGATCATTGAGTCAAATGCTGACTGATGCTTACATACTAATTGTTTGTCCATTATTTATACACTGTAATCGACGACGGATTTTTTTCGATATTTCCAGATCATGACAAGGAGCACACGGCGGCAGTGACCGGTTGACAGGGAATTTTCACTCCTCCATGGCACCTGATCCCAGCTCTGATGCTTTAGAGGTTGTGTTTGCCCTGCAGTTATTTTGTATTGTTTTATGGATTTATGGATATTGAATACTGTTATATGCATATGTTTTATTCAATTTACGTCTTGTAAAAAACTTTTTATTTGGCAAAATATCTACATTATCGAAATGTCTATCCTCAAAAATTTTATTCTCTTAAGAAATATTATAAGCAAAGATTTAATATTGTATAAACCATCAGTCGAGATGTTTTCGGCTTATAAGTACAATACAGCTAGATATAGGGCTCCCTTACATACATCAGTCTATGAAGGGATTTGGGAGAAAAATGAAATTTGGAAAAAAAATCTTGCGTATTCCGAGTTTCTCTGCTCCTACGGCGGGTGTGACCGGTCAGCATGGAATGCTTACATCTCCATGGTACCTGATCCCACTTCTGATGTTTCGGAGGTCCGTGTTTGCTCTGCTCCTATTTTGTTTTGTTTTGATATTGAACTCTGTTCGTTATCTCCATATACCGTATCCCTCTCATTAAATTGTAAAAGTATAGCTGCAGTAAAGCACATTGACAAGTAAAGTTCTAGAATCGGTATTACGGAAACGTATAACCGCCTCGTGTTGTTGTTTTAGAACGCGATATCATGATATAAAAATATTATCAAATACAATTACTTCAAGGTTTTGCGATTTAAA